TTAATTTACGATTGAAAAACGCTCCCCGAAAATAATTTTCGCATTCAAACGTTATTAAAGCCAAGTCTATTGTCTTAACACGTTTCGAACCAACAATAGTGGGGTGTTTGATCTGATTTATGTCCCGTGGCCTTCCCGCAATCTCCTCTAATCCAAAATCAATAGCTCTTTTCACAAATCTAATGTTACACAAACACGAAAACCGAAAAAAAGCTCACGAAGCTTTATCTCCGACTCGCCAAACTAATATTTATGTACTTTGTTTATAATCTAGTGTCAGCTATCGGATATGCTTGTCTGATCGTTTTTTCGTTGTTTGCGTTGCTATATTTCTACTCGGTTGGCAGTTTTCACTTTTAAAAGCTTCAATGTGGCCCAGCGAGAAGATGAATGGCCGGCTTTTCTAAATCGACACGACGTCGTTTAAATCATAGATAGAATCAGGGTTGGTGTCCACTTTTCAAAGAAGGAAAGAAACGAAAAAAAAGTTATCCTATTTGAAACGGTGGATGCGCCGGGTTGCATACTTGTTTTTTTAGATAAACACCCAAACGGATATGAAAAACTATTCACGAAAGCTCTTGACTCGGGATTGAGATATTTAATATGGATTTTGGCGGTTGATTCAATAAGACGCCCCTTTCCAGTCAGAGTTCCCATTGAGTTATAAAAGGCAACGTCTCGGTGGTAAAGTGGTTGCGATTCGGCGCCTTAAAAACGCCTATAAATATCAAGTGGCATCTGTGACGCCTGTAATATACCGATTTCCGGTCGGAAATACCTTCTTTCCTTTCGTTTCATTCATGTCGCGCCCTGGGCTTAACGCCGATTACCGACAAATTTAAATAATTCGCTATATTTACTGACCTACAAGAAAAAGTGAATTTCGGGGAAAAACCGGAATATAACGACACGTGAATGAAAACCACGTGATATTTACGGCTTTATTATGATAAGTAAGTGAGGAAAGTTGGGAAAAGTTGCGATTGAATCGCTTTGAGTTTCCCCGAAATTAAAATTCGAGTGAGGGTGTGGGTATATTAAACATAAGCAAAGCAGCTGCTACACATTTATTACTTTTCATCGGTTTCTAAGGCACGAGCAGAAAAAATCGTTTTTGAGGTAGAATAACTAGAGCAATTTTTTCTGTGTTATCTACAGGCTGGCCCAAAATGCGCTAAACAGTTGTATAATATATTACTTATTTAGGCATATAAAAGAAAAAAGTTAAATGTTTTCTTTGGTTTATTCATAATTAAACAAATAATTAACAAAATTTAAGGTCATGTTTGGAGAACTTCAAATTTAATTCTGCATCAATCTGTATCAACACTCACTCACATTTCCAAGTCTTGACTTTTTACAATGAAAGAAATTCATTACTATCTAGAGTAGTGTTTGAATAATTTGCCATCGAAATATTTCTCACTGAAAAAATGCCAAGTTTTTTTCACAATTGTGTTTTTTTTCGTAAATACAAATTCAATTTATTTACTCTAAATTTGTGTAACTTTGATTTTCTATTTTTTTGTTGTATTTCTATATAAACTAACTATGGCTAATAAATTTCTCGCATTTCGCTTAGTTTTAGAAATAAGATGTTTTTTTTTTGACGAAAACATGCACTTTTTAAAAATGCCTTACACAAAAACTAAGGCAGCTAGAACATTTTTTTCTTACTTCTGCAAAGAAAAAAGTAGAAGAAAGTCTTTAGTGTTTTGCATTTGTAAAGATTAATAAGAAGTTTGTTGAAAATTAAATAACTTAAAAAATTTTAATGGCATACCCTATTTATTGTTTTTGCATTTATAAGATTGGTAAATTGTCTATCTAAGAAATAAACTTTTAATGTCTAGAATTGATAAATGAAAAGATATTTAAAATTTAAAATTTAATTGTAGCAACAATGCCTATCAATATTTGAACATTGTTGATACTACGGCAACCAGTAATTCCACCACAGATCACTTATCCCTTGATTTATTTAGGGATTGTTAAAGTCGTTATAAATACTGAAATTCGAATTATTTTATTGTAAAAATAAAAAATAATGGATTCAGTTTAACACAACTTGATTATTAAGTGATATTTCTTCCATCTCTTGTACAACTGTGCACTTTTTGGCTACTGAAACAATTGTAATAATTTTTTTTTAATGTTTAACGTTAAATATCTTTTTAGTTATTGATTATAAACACCTAAAAGTAAATGGTTTTAAAAAGACAAATTAATAATCTTTTAAATGCAAAAACAATAAATAGGGTGTTCCATTTAATTTTTTTAAGTTATTGAACTTTTTTTTTTA